GATGTGGATGGGAGAGATCTGGGTGATGACCGAATTCCTGACTCCTGTTTCTCTGTGACAAAGAATGTTCAAAACCAGTGGAATGGGGCATTTATACAGGCAAATTAAAGAAAAATGGGAAAAGCTCAAGTGTGACGCCGAGACCAGGTCTTTGGGGAAGTCACTGGTGGAGGAGCCCTGCACCTGCTCTGCCAGCCTGTCCACTGAGCACAGCCTTTGCTGGCTTTGAATGGTGGCTATTGGGTTGGCTGGCTCTCTGGTTATTACACTTGATTCCAGCTTCTCTTTTCCATATCCTTTCCCCTGAAGCAGGCCCTGTACAAGATACTCTCTTCTTAGTAGATATTTTTTCCCTTATAAGACAATTTCAGCCTAAAAGCGTTGTTAATAGAAACCAAATGTGAGCTCAGGCCTTCCAGTAAACCTTAATAGATGAGATACTGCACTGAACCGAGCAGCCCACAGTGGGAAGGATTGCCTGACGAGGAAGGCGGTGTCATGATTCAGCTGGCCACATAATGAATTCTGGTTAGTATCTGTGCTTTTGGTCAAGTCTGAGCGAAGGCTGTGCATTGAGCAGCTCTGTATTCCTACGCCTCTTCAGTTCACTCATTGTCCTCCCCAGCCCCCACTGTTTACCCAGGAGGCACTTGGGCTTTGGGACTTGTTTTGTTTTGTTGAGAAGTTCCTGGAACACCACTAGAGGTATGGGAATGCCGAAAAGTAGGTGGCAAGGCTCTGGGGATGAGAAGCAGCAAACAACAACAGACAGCAGCTGACACAAGCCCAGCGCAGGAGGCACATTGGAGACTGACCTGACATCTGCTTAGCTCTCAGAACGTGGGCAATGCCTGCAGGTACAGCCAGAGAACCCTTGGCCCCAAGAAGCAGAAAACTGTCTTCAGTCAGGTCTCCACTCCTACCTTTATGTCACTTTGCTAAGTGTGTCTTCCACCCTTGACATGAGTGTGCACTGCAGCTAAGAAGGAAGAATCTAGAAATCAGAGTCGGGAGGGAGGTTTAGTCACTAGTTACAGTGTGGAACCATGCCGTTCCTTTCTCTTCCGGGTTCTTTGAATTAGTTCACTGGAACTAATTCCACTCTTTGGACCAGGCTAGGCTGTGACCTTGAGTCCCTCTACCCCCACTCCATCCTGACCATGGGCAGGAAGGGAATGAGGAAGCACATGGCCTGCTGGGAGGCAGATCTCAATGGGCTGTGTGCTGCATGTGACAGTATCTTTGGAAACTGTCTCAGGGCACTTGAGACTTGAGCACATAGGACAATCTATTCTTCCAGAGGCTTACTTCAGACAGTTGAAAATGACTGGCAAAGAAGCTGTCATGTGTTTGCCACAGAACCTGCCTTCTGTAACTGAAAACCACAGTGCATGTGTGTCACACCTGTTGCCATCTTACCTTTTACATACATGTCCCTGCCATGTTGTAACATTGACAAAAACAGTGAAAGGGAAGAAGGATTGACTTGGGTCATGTTTTAGAAGGGATGCAGTCCACTGTGACTGGACCATGAAACAGTGAGTCACATGGTAAATTCAGTCCGGAAGCAGAGTGATACATTCGAGGAGGGTCTTCCTCCTCTGTTAAGCCTCCATGGAAGCACCCTCCAGACACACCCACATCTTGTCTCCTTTGTAATTCCAAATCTAGTGAAGCAGACTGAAGGTGAACCATCATAGTCCTTATTTCTTCACCACTGTCAGGCAGTATTTTCTTTCAGTCAGGTAGTTACAAAACCCAAAGCAAGTGCTTCTCTACACACTCACTTCCAAAGAATGCTGGTAGTGATGATGCACTGCTTGTCACAAAAACGTAAAAATAAATCCAGGCTTCTGTCTCTTGGCCTGTGCTTGAACTGTCCTCAACTCACCAGCTACTCAGGATCTTGTCTCCTCCAGCTGCTCCTGTGATAACTTTTTCTTCTATCTAGTTGTCATACTGTAGAACTTTTTTGTTTCTTTGGTTGTGTTTTTGTTTTTGTTTTGTTTGTAGTGGGCCAGATTTGATTAAAAGTGATCTGGCAAATGATTCAGCAAGTGAAGGTACTTGCTGTCAAGCTTGACAACCTAAATTTGATGGTCAAGGGACCTACATAGTAGAGGGAGAGAACCAACTTTCATAGACTGTCCTCTGCCCACCATACCTATGCCCCCATAAATAAATACAATTAAGAATTTTAAATAATAAAATGAGTTAATTCAGTGAGTATGGTGGCACATAACTGTAATCCCTACTATGCTCAGGAAGGTGTAGAGAGTTGTAGAGAGTTGTAGGTCAGCCTGAGGGTACATGTGAGATCCTTTTCAAAAATAAAAAAGTTAACTCCATTAAGATCTAGTCCAGTGGACTTTGTGTTGAGAACACTGCTGAAGAGCATTACACACATACTTGGGGCAGGTAGAGGGAAGGACTGACGAGCGAGGATCTTGTGAAATGGGACAGAAAGGCAGAAGATGGAGTTGGCTCTGGGTTTTTTGTTACCTCTGTGGCCTTGGGCAGGCTTCTTTGAGCTCACATTCTGAAGACTTGCTTTTTTACTCATTGTTTTTCCTGTGCAGGCACTAGAGGAATGTCTTTACAATAAGATCCTACCCTTCCTCCAGAAAATACCATCTTTCCCTATAGGATTTGAGCTTTTGATTGGTTGGACATGGTGACTGTTGCTGAGCCCTGGAATGCACAGCCCTTGAATATGGCTTTCTTAGTGAGCTCCCCATGTGAGTGGTGCCACCACCCCTCCCTAACTCGATCTCAGATACCTCTGGAGTCATCTAAAGGTGGTGCCACTGTGCCTCCAACTTGCTCTATGACCTTGAGAAACCATGGAGAATCACTTTGAGCCTCAATCTCTTCACCAAAGGCAGGGGGCTCAACCTGCTCTGTGGCCCAGAGTGAGGGATTCAGGGCTCAAAGTGACTTCAGGGATTTCTTTCTGTCTCCAGAAGATTTTGCTCCAGATTTCTTCATGTTCCAGAAAGTCTAAGGAAAGCTAGAGCAATCTCAGGAAAGAAGCAAAGGGCCTCCCTGTGGTAATGCAAGCCCTGGCTCCAGCTTGCCTACATTCGGGGAACTCCGCTTCCTGGCTTGTTACTGTCCTCTGTGAACTGGAGGAGCTGGTGGTACGGTGCACGTGCAGGTGTGCTGGGGGGAGGAGCAGCTCGACTGCTGCTCAGAGCAACAGAGCAGTGGCCCTGCCCTGTGTGCCCACCCTCAAGTGGAAGGAGAAGAGGTGTTGGGGCAGGATTGATACCTCTAGGAAAGTAAAGACCAAAAAAGATTGAGTTGCCATTTTTGCCACATAAGCCAGAGTTCTTCCAAGTCAGACACTTGGCATCAAGATGCAGAATCTACAAGTTCAGCTTCAAAGCCACTCTGTGGGTGTGAGAGTCTTACACAACAACCCTCAGGCCAAGTCATTTCAACAAAGCAGAGCACTGCTTTATGGCATCTGTGCTGTGTACCCAGCAGGGATTCCTTGGGAACTCTTCTGTGCCACCTCCACTGTTTTGTCAAGATTTGAGATGAAGCCCCACCTGGTACTCAAGAGACCCTATTTTAAGAGTTCTGAGAAGTGCCACCTCCCCCAACTAGAATAACAGGAAAAGCTATGCTTCAAGGCATAAACAGTGCACAGGGGTCTCCATGCTTGGGTCAAGCACTATGTTTATTTCTGCAAGTATTTCTCAAGCACTGTGTCAGATGAGAGGCTAGGAGTTAGCAGAGCCCTGCCTCAGGCCTGGACCGTTGTAGTAGCACTGGCAAGTCTTCCTGCCATCCCGGTTCCTGGCACTTCTTTAGGAAAAATAACATCATGGCCTGTGGCTACAGACTTGCCCATTCCCTTTCCTTATCCACCCTCCACCCCGCCCTTTCTTTTGTCTTTTATTAAATACTATTCATTTCCCCTGAGGAAAAAAATAATTCCTTTGTGTCTTAGTGATAGATTCACTTTATGAGTTTTATTATTTGTGCACCTGCCTAGGCTAAAGGTTTTAATTTAGCCTCTCTCCACTGATCTCCTCAGGGACAGGACTGGCATCTGCCCTACTCAGCCCAGAATCTGCTGCCAACATGTGTCAGGCATTCCACTCAGCTCTGAGTTCACCAGTGAGAGCTTAAGGCTGTGGTTGTTGGAGCCTCATATGTCTCATCTCTGATGCTCTGGGTCTGTGTGGCTACAGGGGTAGGAAGTGCCCAGTACGGGACTGCCCTTATGTGAGCACACAAATATGGTAGAGAACAGCAATGAGTTACTCTGTGGGAAAGCTATTCCTTGTTGGCTTCTGTTTCGTCTATCAGAGGTGACACCACTGGTACCTGCTAAGTGCCTGCCAGCCCTTGTTTCTAATAGAGAAAGAACAGGCCTCGGGCCACAGTGAGTTCAGTCAACAGTCATTGGCTAGAATGTGAGAACACTGTTCCATCTGGCTTTCATAGTTACTTTAATTCTCACAGCAAGTTGATACCCCCATTCACAAATAGCAATAGAGAATATATGTTTGTGTGTGTGTGTATGTGTGTGTGTGTGTGTGTGTGTGTGTGTATGTGTGTGTATGCACATGTTTGGAGGCTAGAAGACAACCCTGGGTGTTCCTTAGGCACCATCCCCCTGTTTTTTTTTTTTGTGACCAGGTCTCCTGCTGGCCTGGAGCTCACCGATTGGGCTAGGCTATCTGGCCAGTGAGCCCCCAGGGTCTCCCCAGTGCTAGAACTGCAGTATGTGCCACATACCATACATGGCTTCTGGGGACTGAACTTGGGCACTTTACCAGCAGCTATCTCCCCACCACCAGAAAATGTATGTATGTGTCTGTGCATGTTCAGTGTGTACAGAACTCAGACAGAAGCTATACAAAGGCAGTGACTAGGCCTGACTTCACAGAGGAGGAACCTAGGCTGACAGTGAGGACTCTGCCTCCAAAAGGTCTTTAGGAAGAAGACTGACTGCAATGGCCACTTTTGTTCTTTCTCCATTGCAGGCATGGATCCTGAAAAACTAAAGCGAATCCAGCTCCCAGTGCCAAGTGCAGCTGAGAAAACCACCTACAACCATCTGCTGGCTGAGAGACTCATCAGAATCATGAATAATGCCGCCCAACCAGGTACTCCTAGCTGAGGAGTATTAGAGGGACTAGATCCCTAGCCAGGCACTGTGAGCCCTAGGTTCTGGATCTGGAAAAACGCCAGCGCTTTCTTTTGCCCCTAACCACCAACCAGCATCTGCTGTCTGTTTCTCTCTGGGGCTGTCCCCACCCTGGTTGTAGTCACCTCTCTTTCTCCTGATGCACCAGCCTTTCTCTTGCTGCTCTTGTCACAGCTGGGACCCTCCTCTAGGAAGCTCAAGGCCATACTGTAGAAGGAACGAGGCTAAGAATCTGAGTGAGGGCAACAGGTTTGTGCCCAGTGTCTCCAGTGTTTGACCCAGCACCCCTCTGCAGCCAAGTGACTAAGGCAGTGATAGGAGTGGAGTGAAGCTCTGGGCAGGGCTTTCCCAGCTGGGGTCTTTTTCCTCCAGGATGTATATGACATTGGCTGCAGACATTTTGAGCTTAATAACTAAGAATGTTCCTAGCCTCCAGTTGGTTAAAGTCTAGGGCACTGCTAAATATCTCAGGTGCATAGGACCTGTATAGCACAGAGGTATTTGGCCTGGAATGTCAACAGTTGCATGGCAAGTCCTCTGCAGAAACAGGAGAAAGGTTAATAGAATGAGTGAATGCATGGGAGACAATCTGGCCTCCTGCTTGTCCAGGGAGGAGGAGTGTGGTCAGAGCAGCCTGTTGTAGTAAGCCTGGATCAGGTCGACCAGAGTTGGTCAAGCAGTGACTGGAGTAGTGTGTAGCTGTGCTAGCAAGTGGGAGAAGGACCTGGAAAGCCAGGTCAGTGACCTCACAGTGACAACAGGTAGCATAGCAGTTATCCACAGAACAGGTACTTTCTGATTGCATCCTACGTACCAGCTAAGAGCCACAGCTGATGGTCTTCAATCATCCCAGAAACTATAGACTAGAGATGGGGGTCTTCCACTCAGAGAAGAGGTCAGGACAAGGCCAGCACTGGGGCCCAATATACATGGTCTGTAAAGGTCTAGATGAAGACAAAAGGGTGTCAGGGATTGAGCCCTTGAGACAACTGCTCCTATCTAGAAGTGGCAATGGAGAAGAGATAGCTCAGGACCCTGAGCCAGGAGAAAAGGGACACGGGTGTGACTCTCGGGACACTGGGTTCTCATTGGGGTCAGTTATTGCTGAGAGCTCCATTTAAAGGAGGCAGGGCCTTTTCTGAGGCTGGGGTCAGAGTCAAACTTTGCCAGGGACCAGTGGGAGCCACGTGGGTCAGGGCATTGAGAGAGCTGTGCTGTGGCCAAGGATAGGGTCAACTGTGGCTGGAACTTGGGAAGGCAGGAGCTTGCTGGCCAGCAGAGGGCGTAAGACTGCTCTGGATAGGCACATAGATCTCAGAGTAAAGAGGGGATGGAAGGTCTGGAGTGGGTGGGGTTGGGGCTGCCTAAGTGAGCAGGGACCAACCTCCCCTAGGCTTTACCATACTAAGCAATACCTACTTTACTACTTTATATAACTAAGTACAAATTTTTCTTCTCATCTATTTCAACCTCACCTACAGGGCATTAGCAAAAGGGTTGGTGTCTGGGGTATGTCCCTGGTGTGTCCCAGCTTGGGCTCCAGTGTCTTAGACCTCAGGGACAAGGCCCAGAGATGTTCTGCTCCCTCTTTCTTGTTCTACACCTCCACCTTTCCTTAGGAACAAAGCGCAAAGACCCATGGGACAGCTGCTTAACAGGAGTCGGCCTGTTAAGTGTGGCTGTCTTCCCTAGGAGGAAAGAGATGGCTTCCAGTAGCGGGTAGTACCTTTCCAACCAGAAAGAAACATAGAGTCCTGAAAACATTATTTGAGACCCTGGCCTCAGCTGTACCCGAAACCAGTGCATCCCCATCCCCCATTACCCTAACAGATTTTATAAGTCAGTGTTGTGTTTATGTTTGCTTGTCTGTCAGTTTCTGCTTATCTAGTGTAAGCTAGTCTTGGTTGGGTTTCTGTTAACTGTGGCCAAGTGTGGATGAGCTTCATGCTGTGCTGGCCTGCTAGCATCTAGATCTGGAGCCTGGTGCTATGTGAACACCCCCAGGAGGAAATCTCTACCAACACCCAGCGTGCTCAAGCCACATGGGAGGGACGCTTTAGGAAGACTGACAGCGTCAGCGAGGGAATGGAGGTGGCCAATGCTGGTTCTCACCCTGCCCATTTAGGCCCCACCAGTGTTCCTGTCCTCCGCACACCCCAGAACATGGAGAGCCTGTGCCCAGCATTTCTGGCACACTGTAAAACAGCCTCACTGGCTCTACTGGGCCCCTTTGCCTATTGGCACCTGATCCCTTTGAGCAGGGCTGTGAGCACCTGGGCACACAAGCTTGGGTGGTAAATGAAAATGTGAAATAAAAGGAGCAGGACTTTTATTTCTTGACTACTCCTAAAGCACAGAGAAGATTTTTATTGTAGATATAAGGGAGAAAACAGCAGAGGGGAGGCTGAACATGGCCAGCAAACTAAACCAGACCGTAGGAGGAGAGAAGGGGAGGGAGAGCAAGAAAGGAGCCGCTGACCAAGAGAGGTGGCCTGGGCCAAGAGACCAGCTTAGCTAAAATGGCTGAGTTATATAGGGATCGGGCTGGGGGAGGAAGGTGGAAGCTGTCCTGGGAGGGAGAGGTTTAGGTAGGGGAGGGATGAGGAGTGCTGAGTGAGAATTGTCCTGGGTTTGAGACCAATCAAACAGGTAGTATGTTCCTTCTGGAAGGGAGAGAAGACCCAGCTCCACTAAGTCACGTGACCCAGAGAGGCTGCTGGTTTTGTGCCTGTATGAACAGGCACAGCCGCAGCACAGCCGCCTGCCTTCTCCCACCTTCTCCGCTGATGAAGGGACTTCAGGACAGATGGGAGCTGAAAGGCTTGACAGGGAGTGTGACTTGTACCTTAGTGGGAAGAGGGTTGACATGTGTAGCTCCCTCTGGGTCCCCCTGGACATGAGCCCTTGGGCAAGACTGTCTGTCGGGTGATGATCACCCTCAAAGAAGGAGAGCAAGTCTGTCTCTGGGGTGGGCACTGGGCTCTGGGGTACTGAGATGACCTCTGTGTCTGGGGTGGGCACTGGGCTCTGGGGCACTGAGATGACCTCTGTGTCTGGGGCAGGCACTGGGCTCTGGGGTACTGAGATGACCTCTGTGTCTGGGGTGGGCACTGGGCTCTGGGGTACTGAGATGACCTCTGTGTCTGGGGTGGGCACTGGGCTGACCCTGGTGTGCTCTGCAGATGGCAAGATTCGTTTAGCCACACTGGAGCTGAGCTGCCTGCTCCTGAAGCAGCAAGTACTGACCAGCTCTGGCTGCATCATCAAGGATGTGCATCTGGCCTGTCTGGAGGTGAGTCCATGCCTTTGCCTTCCCTTCCTGTGCTGTCCCTCAGCTGAAGAAGTCAATCAGGAGGCTGCTGGCACTGCCTGTTCCACAGCATCCCTAGCATAGCTCAGAGAAGCTGGGTCTAAGACACCTGTGACCCCACCCCAAGGTCCTACTCCAGCCCACATGTCCAAAGGTGCCTTCCTCTACCCAGACCACATTCTTTCATTGCAGTAGCTTCTTTTGGAATAATCTGCTTCTGGATTAGCTCTGGGAGTTTTTAAATGTTCCTTTTGTGTGACAAAGATTTTATACGTGTAGAAACATAACTACCTACAGTGTTTTGTTTTGGGGTGTGTGTGTGTGTGTGTGTGTGTGTGTGTGTGTGTGTGTGTGTGTGTGTGTGTGTGT